TCGCCAACTTAATGTTTTGAAAACTCTCAGAAAAGTTGAAAAAGTCAGAATAGCAATAAACACCCATATGCTCTTCGTCCTAATCGCCAATTATGGCAGGCGTTCCCACTCCTCTCCTCTCTTTTCTCCTTCCTCTCTCCACACACACACACACACACACACACACACACACACATACGCACGCACGCACGCACACACGCACACACACATTTTCCTGAACTGTCTGAAAGTCAGGTGCAATCTCCTGAGCTTTACCCTAAACACTTCAGCACACATCTGAGAACCTGCCTTCCATAACCACAACACTGGGATTGCACCTAAGATAATTAATTCAGCATCACCTGATGCACAGCCTTCACTTTCCCAGGTATTCCAAAATACCTTTTATAACTTTAAAAAAATCCAGGATCCAATCAAGGCTCACAAACGACATTGGTTATTTCTCTCTTAGTCTAGAAGCGAACCCTCCCCTACAACCACTACTTTTTCGTTTTTGTTCTTTGTGATGCTTGGGTTTTTTTTTTGAAAAGTTCAGGCTGTGTGTCTTGTAGAACGTCCCTCAGTTTTGATTTGTCTGATTGCTGCCTCGTGGTTAGATTTAGCTAAACCTTTTCGGTGAGGTTGTGTCTTTCTCATGCATCCAAGCAGGAGGCACGTGAGCATGAGCGAGTCTGTCCACAGTGGGAGGTCACTGGGTTAAGGTGGTGTCCACCAGGGCATGCCAGGGAGGGTTCTTGGAGGCTGTGTGACTATCCAGTTCCTACAACCTCTCAGTGTGGGTGTTTCTCTAGAAAGTTTCTCTAGAAAGGCCAAACTATGTTGCCAGATTGGGCTCTGAAGGCAGAGTTGGTGAAAGGACAGAAAGCTGAGTTTGCAGAGAAAGAAAACACAACAAGGACTCCTTGGAGGTCTTAGACTGCTGTCAAAGCCACAGGCAGCCCCAGGAAGGCCTGGCTGGTCAGACTCTTTCAGGGACTGGCCAAAAGCCTGTGGGGCCCCTACTATTCATGGGACCCCGGGGAAAGCCTGGGATTGGCTGTGAGACTTGGGGTTGGCAGTTTTCTGGAAAAGTTGGACCCACAATATGATTTTAAGCAAGGCCAAGTACATTTACACAGGCAAGGAGGAAAAGCCTAGGATGGACAGGCACGGCGGACCAAGGTGAGGGGCCTTGCTGGGGACCTCCAGCATTCTCTCTCAGAGCCTCAGTTTCCTCATCTGCAGAATGGGGGCCCTGGCCTGCAGGACGACAATTTCTCTGTTGGAGCTAATGATAAATGGCTGTATTATTCTGGAGGCAAATTGCTCCAGGGTGTCTGAGTAGGGGCTTCAGGGGCTTTCTCTCTCTCTCTGATTCCTTTAGCCTCAGCATCAAAGATAGAATCTGTAGCCTGTCAGAGCCATCTAGAACTACCTGCACGAGACAGGAAGAATTCAGTGCATCCAGGAGAGAAAAGAAAACCTAAGCCAAGAAGCCACAGGAGAGGTCAGACGGAGTCCAGGAGTAAGGACAGAGATGCAAAGTGATAGAAGACATTTTCTGATTTGGCCTGGTTGGGGGACAACCTGTCTTGGTTACCCAGCTGTTCTGGTTGACTGAGCTGGAGCCTGGTTTGCATAGGAGGGTATGAGGGTTCCTCACTTCTCCCAGTTTCTGTGTCCTTTGCTGCGTGACTCTGCTGCCTGTCCCCAACACACACACACACACACACACACACACACACACACACACACACACACACCCGGGTGGGTGAACTCCTGGTCCTGCCCTCCCCTATGGCCATGTGACTTACTGAAAAATTAGCCGGGCATGGTGGCGCATGCCTGTAGTCCCAGCTACTTGGGAGGCTGAGGCAGGAGGCTCGCTTGAGCCCAGGAGTTTGAGGTTGCTGTGAGCTGGGCTGATGCCACAGCACTCTAGTCTCAGCGACAGAGCAAGACTCTGTCTCAAAAAAAAAAAAAAAAAGACCCTAATCCAGCAGGGGTGTGAACACAGGGCGGGGGCCCTGGGCCATCTCGGAGGTGGGCTAGTGCGGCACCAGCGGTGTCCTGGTCCTCACTTCCGCCTCTGCCCCCGTATCCCAAGAGACTGCTGGGATGTCAGCTCCCAGGGCAGGGACCTTCCTCCCTGCTGTTCACGCCAGGCACTTGGTAGACAGACGCTCAGTGAGCACTGACCGAAGGGACAGACAGAGGAGGCTTGTGCCATCTGGGTGTGGCACCTGGCAGTCCTCCGGAAGGCCCGAAGGCGAGGACTCAGCGCCTGCTCATTGGGCTGATGTTACTTCTCATGTGGCTTCTCAGTCCCCGGCTGTCCTCCCTGCCAAAGCCCTGAAGTATCTGTTGTGACAACTGCACGGCGCAAAGCCACCGCCTGTTCTGGGGGCCGGAGCCAGGAGGAGCTGGGGTGGCGACAGCGTGCCTCCGCAGAGACAGGAAGAGGCGTAACTGCTCGAAACCGCACCCTACCAAAGGGCACTTGCACAACACACCCTTCCTCTCTCCCCCAGAAGCCACCCTCCCCTGTGAGCGTGGTCTGGCGCGAAGGGTTCATTGTGCCCACGGAGGCTGTGGGGTGTCAGTGCTGCCTGGGGGGTCACCTTGGGAATTGGAAGAAAGGCCCAGTTGCCGTTAGGATGGCCCAGAGGGTGGGCAGGGGTCTGGACGCCCACATAACCTGGTTCCCCGGCAGCACCACCCGGATTGCTCAGACGGCCCACAGGGGCGTGGGGAGAAGAACGGTGCAAAGGTTACTAGAGGCTGGAGGTCATGGCCAGGACCCCTGTCTTGGTCACAGAGGAACCTCAGTTTCTCCTCCAACCTCCTAAGGCCTGACCTGAGGGGACTGACACAGTGACCTGCCAACCTGACCCTAAACAGCATGGATGTCACACGGTTCAGGCAACAGTAGGAACACCTGGATCCAACCATGAAGCCCAAGGTCATGACTACTAAAGGGAGTGTTTGAGAATACATCTCCTCAGTGCCTCATTAAAAAAATTTTTTAAAAGATCACAGACTAGGCCGGGTGTGGTGGCTCACACCTGTAATCCTAGCACTCTGGGAGGCCGAGGCAGGAGGATAGCTTGAGCTCAGGAATTTGAGACCAGCCTGAGCAAGAGCAAGACCCTGTCTCTACTAAAAAAGAAAAGAAAAATTAGCTGGGTGCAGTGGTGGCGCCTGTAGTCCCAGCTACTCAGGAGGCTGAGGCAGGAGAATCCCTTGAGCCCAGGAGATTGAGGTTGCTGTGAGCTACAATGATGCCACTGCACTCTAGCCAGGGTGACAGAGCGAGACTCTGTCTCAAAAAAAAAAAAAAAAAAAAAAATCACAGACTAAAAATTGCAATCTTTTCAAAGCAACATTCAAATGCCCATTCCCTGATTACAAATACCAAACCAACCCAGCACAGAGACTGTTGCAAGGACAATTCGTGTTGGCATCTAATGAATGCCACAGTTAACAAAAAACAGACAACAGCCAAAGAATCCCACCTTTTCCAAAGCAAAGTTTAAACGTCTTTTCCCCTGTACAACAGCCACCCAGACCCTCATCGCGTCTCCTGCATCTGCAGGCTAGGTGTCTTCCGATTGCAGCAACAAAGCTTGCCACAGGTCAGGGCCCTTTCCTCCTGCAGGACGAAGGGAGCTCGGACCACCAGGGTGGGGAGCTTGGCACTCATTATCTACGGAAAGGGATTTAGCAGTGGCCCCTCCAGCTTCTACAATATGCGTCTGGGGTGAAAAACTACCTCCACCCTGAGCCTGGGCTGCTTCTTGGCCCCCACCCCTGCCAGGCCAGTATCTTCTCAGAACTGAGAGCACCTTCTGAGAGGCTGTCTGAGGGTCTGGTCCCACGGGGACAAGGGTGTGGGGAGGGAAGGCCTCATCGCCTGGCTGTGGCCCGTGCAGCTCCACCCTGCACAGTGGTGCCCACAGGTAGCAAGGCATGGTGCCATGCAGGGCTGCTCACTGGACAACCAGCTGAGGGGACCCCAGAGCTGCATAGACTGCGTGAACTGCAGCGAGTCAGGGAGGGCTGCAGGATCCTCCCACAGGCCCTGTCTGGGCCCCATCTCTGCTGCGGAGGCAGCGGGAGGCCCCACCTGCTCCGGCATCCTCATAAGCATGTGCCCAGGCCCCTGGCCTCCTCTCTTCAGCCATCTGTTCGACACACACGCTGTGATGTGCCCCCGAAGGAAACTTACAGCCACCTCCCTGGGTGACCACACCCTGCACCCATATCCTGCAGGGGGGAAGTGGAGGAGGAGAGGGCCAGGCAGGGAGGGAGGAAGCCATGGCTACCAGGGAGCTCCCTTCCCACCCCTGCCCTCCCCACCCCATAGTGAGCTCGGACAGTGCATGGCCTTCCAGGGTGGCCTGCAGGGTGGGGAAGGGCTTAGAGGGCTCTTCCTCCTCTACCCCTGCCCTGTGCCTGGCCCCAGGGAGGGGTGAGAGAGGAGGGGACGGGGATCCATCTCATTCGTGTTCAAGGCAGGGGCCCTTCCTTCCACTCAGAGATGGGAAATCCCAGGCCACGGGTTCCCGAGAGAGAACAGATGGGCATGACTCTCTCTAGGAGCTGCCCAGGGCCACTGAACAGCTGCCACCACTCCCCTGCGTAGGGACAGCGGCAGCCCAGCAGGGCTCTTGATCTCCTGGCATCTCCCCCGTGGTCACACCAGCGATGAAAGCAGAAGCCACTGGAGAGCTGTGTCGCGGTCAGACAGCTCTGCTGGGTGCTGGGCCCACACTACTGAGCCACTGACACAGGAAGCCACGTGGGGCTCGGCCTGGGTGGGGCAGGGCATCTGCAGGGGACGCCCCACCACTTCTAGGCTGCAGCCATCCCCAAGGGGGCGTGGGCTCAGGGGTACAGGCTGGCACAGTTAACTCTGGATGTTAGGGGAGCACCAAGCCCTGCTCAGGGAGCTGGAGCCGTCCACTCGTCAGGCACAAGACCCATCCTGGGAAACTAGGTCCCCCAGAGCACCCCGGTACCTGCTCCTGAACGGGAAGATGGGAGGACAGACCATGTTCCGAGTGTACACAGTGGACGGCGAAGTCACGCGTCAGCTGCACAGCAAACCACCTTGAGACCACAGGGCCCAAGAGGATGTTGGCACAGTGAGTGCCAGGGCCCCATGGCATGGCCACGGTAGAGCAGAGGAGCCTGGCACAGCAGGGCCCCTGTGGGGTGCTGGGGTGTGGCCTCTGGTCTCAGGCGTGCCTGGTGCCATGACCCAGGCAGGAGGGCCCAGACACCCCAACCCTCCTGGCAGTCAGCGGCCAGAGGGAGCAGGAGGCAGACCGAGGGGGCAGGGAGCGAGGTCAGCGTGAGGGGGAAGCACCTGGGCGTGTCCTCACCCTCCTGCCCACAGCGGGAGGCAGACTCTCCCTCCCAGTGTGCGAGCCCCTCTCAGGGCAGGCAGAGCTGGCCCTGGTGACGCTGAAGAGCTCTTCCTTCCTGGTGCCAGCTTCGCGCTGGGGTGTGCCACACACCTGTCATCTGTGCTCCCTCATCTGATCTTCCCTGCACCCCAGGAAGGGTACTGTAGATGACATCACAGATGGTCCAAGGGGCTCGGGCACATGGCTGGGACCTCACCCCAGGGCTGGCTGACTGCACGGCTGTGCTCTGAGCTTCGCGCTGAGAAGCCTGGGGCAGGCTCTGTCCCCCACCTCCCATCCCCAAACCCATGCGGTGCCAGGACACAGGAGGGGCAGGCCACCAATGAGGGGGCGGTCAGGCCGGAGGGGGGACCCTCCCTGCTCTGCCCTTCCTTTTGGGGAGGCCCCGCCTCCCTCTCGCACCGTGAGCCAGGCTCCCTGGTGACTCACCCGGGGCAGAGCCCAGGTTCTCTCCGGCACGTGGAAAGGGAGGACTCGGGTGGGACATTCCATCTCGGCCACCGGCATGGTACTGAGTCCCCAGTCCCAGCCCGCCCCTCGTATGGGATCCTTCCCCAGGGTGGGTACGGATCTCTGCGCATGGCTGAGTCAGCCAGCTCCGCTCCTGTGTGTCGGATCAGAGGTGCCGCCGGGTCCCTGGCAGGATAAGGACACAGACTGAGGCAGGGGAAGGTAGGAGGAGGAGAAAGAAGGGAAAGCAGTTTGGGTGCTCAGTAAGAAAGCAGAGGTGTCGAGAGGAACAGGAGGAGGAGAGAGGAGGAGGAAGAAGAGAGGGTGGGAAACAGGGAGCACGTGAGGGAGAGTGGGGCGGGCCCCCACTCTAGGCCTCACCCCCAGCCACTGCTGCTGCTGCGAAGTGCACTTTACAGATGAGAAATTCAAGGCCCATGAATATTAAATAACATCGAAGGTCGCTCAGTGAATCAGTGGCAAACCTGGGACAAAAGCCTGGGCGCATCTGGCTCTAAATGGGGGTTCTTTCCTCCACACCGCATACCACCACCTTCCTGCCTTGGAGCACCCCCTTGGCCTGGCTCTCCACAGGTGACCTCCGCCGTCTGCCCCGAGCTGGGGTAGCAGCAGTTATCCTCTGTCCTTAGCACGGAGATGCTGCCGTGGCCCTGTGGGTGTGCGAGCGCAGATTACCCGCTGCTGTCACAGATCACGGTCGCGGCGCTCACACCTGGAGAACAGCAGGTGAGGGCCGGACGCTGCGAACCAGCATCTGTGACCTTGCCAGCTGCTTCGCAGGCTCAGACACGCTGAACCAGCCCTCAAACCTCAGCTTCATTCTGACCCTTAAAAACAAGTACTATTTTCAGGTATCTGCCAATTCTCTTTTTAAAAAGTTACTTGGGACCAGGAAGGCAGGTGACTTAAATTTTGGGTGGCAAAGTTAGAAATGACCCATTTAAAAGACACTATCAACAGAGTAAAAAGGCAACCCACACAATGGAAAAAATACTGGCAAATCACGTCTCTCAGAGGGATTAATATCCAGAATATACAGAGAACTCCTAAAACCCAGCAACAGAAAACCCAACAGCCCAGTTAGAAAATGGGCAATGGACTCGCACAGATGTTTCTCCAAAGACAATAAAAATGGCCAATAAGCACACGAAAGGCTGCTCAACACCACTAATCGTTAGGTAAATGCAAATCAAAACCACAATGAGATACGCCTCACACCCATTAGCATGGCTACTTAAAAAAAAACCCCAGACAGTAACAAGATGTGGGGAAATTAGAAGCCTTGTGCATGGTTGGTGAGAACGTACAAATGGTGCGGCTTTAGTGCAAAACGGTGTGGTGGTTCCTCTAAAGTTTACAAATAGAATTACCACATGATCCAGCCATTCCACCTTGGGTATAATATACGCCAACGAACTGAAAGCAGGGTCTCAAAGAGGTATCCGTACATCATGTCCATAGCAGCATCATTCACAGTGGCTAAAACGTGAAAGCAACCACGCGTCCATTGGCAGATGAATGGATAAGCAACATGCGCACGCACACGCAACGGAGCATCATTCAGCCTTAAAAGGGGAGGAAATTCTAACACACATTACAGCATGGGTGGACCTTGAAGACATCATGCTAAGTCAGACAGAAAAAGACAAATCCTGTGATTCCACTTACACGAGTAGTTGAATTCCAGAGCAGTCAAATGCACAGGGACAGAGGTAGGAGAGCGGGTGCCAGGGGCTGGGGAGTTAGTGTTTGACGGGGCAGAGTTTCAGTTTGGGAAGATGCAAAGTTCTGGAGACGGATGGCGTGACGGCTGTATAGCAATGTGAACGTAGTTACTGCCACCGAACTGTACACTTAAAAATGGTTAAGGTGGTAAATTTCATGTTATGTGTATTTTACTACAGTAAAAAAAAAGAAAAAAAAAAGAAAAAGGAATACTTGATTTAGTCAACAGCGGCTCCACCTCTGCAGTATGTGTTTGAACCATATATTTATGCTCGATCAATAAATGTGGCTCATGTGGTGGCTGCCCGGCCCGCCCACCACCCATGGCCCCTGCTTCTGGAATCATCTCACGGTGGTGTGGCTGGAGGAGGGGCTTCCAGGAAAGCTCTGCTTTCCCCACGGGAAGGGCAGGCTCTCCAGGTACATTCGTGTCATGGAGGCTGCGTGTCCATTCCAGCAGCAGGAGTGATGTGGGGGCACCTGCGGCCAGGCCGGGGTGGGACGCTGTGCTGCAGCAGGTTGTCCCGTGCCGTCCCCCTGCTTGACCACAGAACAAGATCCTGGCCAGGCCTGTCTTGGGACCACCAAATACCTCCTCCTGCTCGGTGGGGACCTCACAGTTGTTCTCCTTCTGGCTTCTAGATATTTGCACAACTTCAGGAGCAAGTACTGAATCACTCTGCTTTGCTGTAACTCGCATTCCCTCGGGACGGGACTGTGCAGGGGTGGGGGCACCTTCCCCAAGTGCTACCGAGAGAGCTCACATCACACGTCATAGACTTTCCGAGCGTGAGGAGCGGGGAGCCCAGGCGCAGGGCTCTGGGGGATGCACGGTTCCCTCTGTGAGATCCTCACGCTGGCGGCCTCCACATCTCCCCCGCAGGGAACGCTAAGCAGATTGTTCCACTGGGGACAACAGATATGACAAAAAGGCCCTTTGCGTGTTGATTTGAAATCAGCTTCCTTGTAACTGCTACTCTGCTCTCTGGTCCCTCTGTCCTAGGACGTTCTTTTGAGCATCTGAGGACGCCTAGCATTGCTCACCCCACTCCACAGCCAGGCACTCTGTTCTTGGGAATAAATGTTGCTTCTTTTGATCCTTCCACACAGGGTTTTTGATTTAAGCTAATAAACATAATTGTGGCCGACGCTGCGCAGCATGTTTCACTTGGGCTATCCCACCGAACTGTTAAAGGCAGGTCTGGTGTCTGCGCCCACTGTACCCACGAGGATGCTGAGGTGGGGTCAGAGGGCTGGGAAGTGGGAGCTCGAGCGTCCGGCTGCAGAGCCTGATTAGCTGCCATTCAGTGCAGACTCGCTCTCGAACATCAGCACTCTGGTCACCCTCTCGAAGCTGTTTCAGTTTGCACATCCTTCCTAAAATGACAGAGGCCCTCAGAACCCAGGGCAGCATCACCTGCCGTCTGGTCAGTAGCAAGTGCAGCGAGGTGGCCTCTGTCCTTGCTCTAGGATAGAGTCCGGCAAACTGCTGTGGCCTGAGGGCCAAATCTGGCCTGTCACCCTTGTTTGTGTGGCCCTGGAGCTAAGAATGGTTTTTACATTTTTAAATGGTCGGAAGAAAACCAAAAGAACAATATTTCAGAACATTCGGAATATATATGAAATTCAAATAACAACATCCATAAATAAAGTTTTATTGGCACACAGCCACACTCACTTGTTGTCTTAGTGACCTCAGGCTGCCGTAACAAAATACCACAGACTCTGTGGCTAAAACAACAGGCCTTTTTTTCTCACAATTCTGGAAGCTGACAAACCCAAGATCGAGGTGCTGGCAGATTCGGTTTCTGGTGAGGGCTCTCCTCTTGGCTTGTGGACGGCCTCCTTCTTGCTGGGTCCTCACAGGGCAGAGAGAGAGCTCTGGGCTCTTCCTCTTATTAGAGAGACAGCTGACCCAGCACGGGGTCTCTACCCTCCGATCTCGTCTAATCTAATCTTGGTCCCATATACCTGAGTCTAGAACTTCACCTCTCTCCATGTGGCGTTCCAATGAAGTGAGACAACCGGTACGGAGGGTGTGGCACGGTCTCCACGCACACTCTTGGTCGCTGTTACTTTGTTCATTCCTTGCCTTCGGGAGAGGTTTAGGTGGTCTGTTGACTTTCCAGCCCCCCGGGGTTCCTGCTGGGAGTTTTCATCTCATGAGATCACAGCCTCTCTCCTGGAGACAGACGTGCTAATCTGCTCTAACAACTGGTACCCAGAAGGCAGACGCATTTCAGCGGCGGCATGATTTCTAGCATTTTGCCCATCCCCGTTCAAACCCCAGTCTGGAAAAGGTGGATGCAGGAGGTCCATTTGCCGCTGGTGCGGCTTCTGCCTGGGGGATCATGCGGCAGAGTCCAGCGGGATTTCCTGTTGGTGTGCACTCTGCAACGTCACCACCACTGTGTCCCACCCGAGTCACGTCAC